CAGCTGGTGCTCTTACAGTCACCTTCAGGTGAAAGTCTTTTCCTACCCAAGCCAGTCCAAAAAGGCTGGAAGAGTTGACTGCATCCTCAGATGTGCAGACATCAATACAAAACCTTCAGAAACCTGGAAAAGCAAGGAAACATGACACTGCCAAAGGAACACAGTAACTTTTCAGTAACTGAACTTAAAGAAATGGAGATCTATGAGTTATCTGAAAAAGAATTCAAAATAAAGAAGCTCAGATACTTCAAGAGAAGACAGAAGCAATTCAGTGAACTTAGGAAAACAATACATGAACAAAATGAAAAGTTCAACGAAGAGTAAGAAATCATAAAAAGGACCAAATTCTGGACCTGAAGAATACAATGAATAATGCAATAGAGAACTTCAGTATCAGGCTCAATCAAGCAAGAGAAAGAATCTGTGAACTTGAAGACAGATCTCATGATATTATAAGGTCAGAAGAGAAAAAGAAATCAGAAAGAAAAAGAGTGAGGAAGGCCTATGTGAATAGTGGAACACGATTAAGTGAAACAACATCTGTGTAATGGGAGTCTCAGAAGAAGAAGAAGAGAGAAAGGGACAGAAAACTTATTTAAAGACATAGTGGCTGAAAACTTACCCAATCTGGTGAAGATATGGCTATGTAGGTGCACAAGCTCAAACATCTGCAAATAGATTCATCCCTAAGAGATCTTCACCAAGACATTTTCATCAGGCTCTTAAGGCAAAGGGAGGATTTTGAAAGCAACTAGAGAAAAAACTTGTTACCTATGTGGTAATACTGATAAGCCTATTAGTAGATGTCTCGGCAGAAGCCTTGCAGGCCAGGGGAGAGTGGGATGATATATTAAAATTGCTTGAAGAAAAAACTGTCAATCAAAAACACTTTACCCAGGACTTCCCTGGTGGTGCAGTGGTTAAGAATCTGCCTGCTAATGCAGGGGACATGGGTTCAAGCCCTGGTCTGGGAAGGTCCCGCATGCCGCGGAGCAGCTAAGCCCGTGAGCCACAGCTACTGAAGCCCGTGCGCCTAGAGCCCACGCTCTACAACAAGAGAAGCCACCGCAATGAGAAGCCTGCGCACCGCAATGAAGAGTAGCCCCTGCTTGCTGCAACTAGAGAAAGCCCACATGCAGCAATGGAGACCCAACACAGCCAAAAATAAATAAATAAAAAAATAAAAAATACTTTACCCATCAAAGTTGTCCTTCAGAAATGAAAGAGAGATAAAGAGTTCAACAGAAAAACAAAAGCTGAATGCCCACTCTCACCATTTTTACTCAGCATAGTGCTAGATATCCTAATTATAGCAATTAGGCTAGAAAAAAGAAAGAAAATGCATCCAAGTCAGAAAGGAAGAAATGAACTCATCTCTGTTTGCAGATGACATTATCTTATATATAGAAAACTGTAACATCTCCACCAAAAAAACTGTTAGAACTAATAAATGAATTCAGTAAAGATACAGGACACAAAGTTAATATACAGGGCCTCCCTGGTGGCGCAGTGGTTGAGAGTCCGCCTGCCGATGCAGGGGATACGGGTTCGTGCCCCGGTCTGGGAGGATCCCACATGCCGCGTAGCGGCTAGGCCCGTGAGCCGCGTAGCGGCTGGGCCTGTGAGCCGTGGCCGCTGAGCTTGCGCGTCCGGCAACGGGAAAGGCCACGACAGTGAGAGGCCCACATATCGCAAAAAAAAAAAAAAAAGTTAATATACAAACCATCAGTTGCGTTTCTACACACTAATAATGAACTATCTGAAAGGGAAGTTATGAAAGCAATCCCATTTACAATAGCATCAAAAACAATAAAGTACTTACGAATAAGTTTTACCAAGGAATTGAAAGACCTGTACACTGATCAATAAGACACTGTTAAAAGTTATTGAAGAAGACACACAAAAAAATTGAAAGATATCCTGTATTCTTGAATTGGAAGAATTAATATGAAAATGTTCATGCTGACCAAAGTGATCTTCAGAATCAATGCAATCCCTATCAAAATTCCAGTGTCATTTTTCACAGAAATACAAAAACTATCCTAAAATTTGTATGGAACCACAAAAGACCCCAGATGGCCAAAGCAATCTTGAGAAAGAAGGACAAAGCTGGAGGCCTCACACTTCCTGATTTCAAGCTATTATGAAGCTATGGTAATCAAAATAGTATCGTACTCAAATAAAGCAGGGCACATAGACCAGTGAAACAGATTAGAGAGCCCAGTCATAAACCCAAACATATTATGGTCAACTAGTTTTTGATAAGGGTGTCAAGAACACACAATGGGGAAAGGACAGTCTCTAATAAATGGTATTGGGAAAACTAGGTATCCACAAAAGAATGAAACTGGACCCCTGTCTTACACCATTCACAAAAATTGACTCGAAATGGATAAAAGACTTTACATATAAGGCCTGAAACTATAAAACTCCTAGAAGAAAACTTAAGGGAAAAGATCCTTGACCTTGGTCTTAGCAGTGATTTCTCGGGTAAGATAACAAAAGCACAGGCAACAGAAACTAAAATAAACGAGTGGGACTACAACAAACTAAAAAGATTCTGCAGAGCAAAGGAGACAATATATTGAAAAGGCAGCCTACAGAATGGGAAAAGATAATTGCAAACCATATATCTAATAAGGGTTTAATATCAAAAAAATACAAAGAACTCACATAGCTGAATGGTACAAAAGAAGGTAGTCCAATTAAAAATGGGCAAAGGACTTGAATAGACATTTTCCCAAAGAATTATGTACAAATGGCCAGTAGATAATGAAAAGGTGCCTTACATCAATAATCATCAGGGAAATGCAAACCCAAACCACAAAGAGTATTACCTAACACTTCTTAGAATGGCCATTATCAAAAAGAAGAGAGAGCAAATAGCGAGGATTTGGAGAAAACAGAACCCTTATACACTGTTGGTGGGAACGTAACATGGTACAGCTAATATGGAAAAGGACATGGAGGTTCCTCAAAAAATTAAAAATAGAACTACCATACCAGCAAACCCACTCCTGGGTATATATCCAGAGGAATCAAAGTCATTATCTTAAAGAGATATCTGTATACCCATGTTCATTCCAGCATTATTTACAATAGCCAACATTTGTAAACAACCTTAATGTCTTTCCATGAATGAATGGATAAGGAAAAGTGATTCATATATATGATGTACATATATCATATATATGAATATTATTCAGCCAATTGAAAAAAGGAAATGCTACCATGTGCAACAACATGGATACATGGATGAATCTGGTGGGCATTTATGCTAAGTGAAACATGCAAGGCAGAGGAAGACAAATACTGTATGGCATCACTTATATGTGGAGTCGTTGAATAAAAAAAAAAACAAACGATTTCATAGAAACGGAATAGAAAGTTGGATTCCAAGGGCTGGGAGAATGGTAAATGGGGTGATAAGGTCAAAGGGTATACATTTTCAGTTTTAAGAAGATTAAGTTCTGAGGATCTAATGTACAACATGGTGACTATAGTTAATAATACGGCATTGAGTTTCTGAGAGTAAATCTTAAGCATTCTCACCACATGCACACGCACACACACATACACAAAGTGTTAACAGTGTTAACCATGTGAGGTGGTGGACGTATTAATTATCTTCGTTTTGATAATCATTTTACCATGATTTGCCATTTTACCATATACCATCACATTTTACACTTTCAATATATACATTTTACCATGATTTACCATTTTACCATATATCATCACATTTTGCACTTTCAATATATACAGTTATATTGTCAATTATTCCTCAATAGAGTCAAAAAATAAAAACAAACTTTAGAAAAATGTCCTTTAAAAATATTCTCTACTTTGTTTTAATGCACTCATTTGCTTACATGAGTACTGTCAGAGTACTCCTTTACTCTTCGTTCCTTGTGTCCCCCACCTCTATGGTCCTCATGTCCTTTTACATTCTGTTTCCTGGGTTTTTCTCTAATGCATATTCATTCTTCATCCCCATTACTGCTGTATTGGTCCAGACAGTTATTGTCTTTTCCTCTGTTAATTGGTCCCCCTTCATATCTGTGCTCCCTTTCTCATACCTGCCAGAGGGATCTTTTGAAAAATGTAAGTTAAATCACTCTCCTCTTTAAAATCCCCAGTGCTTATCTTCCATCGGGTGAAAATCTAAGCTAATTGGCCTATATCATACCCTTCATTTTCTCATTCTTATTTGCTTCTCCTAGTACTTTCTCAAGCATACAAGTTAAGTCACGATTAACTTATTTTCCAAAGATATAATTTAAATCCTTTATTTTCGCATTATGAGTTCTTCTTCTTAAAAGCCACACTCACACACTCTTATGTTCACCCAGAAAGCTGCTATATTTTTCTCCAAGATACTGCTTAATTATTACCTGTTTTGTGAAGTGATCACTAATAACCTTGGCCCCAGGCAGTTTGCATTTATTATTCCATTCCCATGGCATTTTAAAGTATATGCCTTCATTAGTGTATACTTTTTGTATTATAATTATTTTTTGCTCTTTCTCTCTTTAACTTCATAAGCTCCCTGAGGCAGGGACTATATTTACACATCTTTTAAAAAATTCCCAGCACACAACACAGTGTATGGTACATGGCAGTCAGTGAAAGAAATAAATGGGGAGTGAATTGTAAATGGATGAAAAGAGTTATTGAAATTTATCATAAACAGGAAACGAGGCGTTCATTCAGGCTGTTGCAATGTAAGACATTATTAATTTTTCAGAACTTGACAACATTAGTAAAAAAGCTCATACATTTTTAGAGTGCTTTTCCAAATTTTGAAGTACTTTCACTTCATCTCATAGGTTTTTCAACACCTGGAACAACCTTAGAGACATTTTTTATAAGGAAATGTCATTTACTTTTCCATTGGTGATTGAAATACCAGTGTTATATATATATAACATTCTACTTTTGGATGTGCATGTTATAGAATGCTTACCTCTGACCTACTTATAGCACATTTTGTATCACAGTGGATGACGTAGTAGATGAAAGTGATGACAACGATGATATTGATTTAGAAGCTGAAAATGAAACCGAAAATGAAGATGACCTAGATAAAAATTTTAAGGTTGGTATAAATTTCTGTGTTTAGTCAACTTTATAAATTGTATTCACAGGTGTAGAACAAAGATTGGGTAGATATGTATAGCTAACAGTAGATTAATTTGTTTTGTCCACAACTTTTTATCATGGATGACTATGGACACTAAGCTATTGAAAGGAAAATAATGTTGCTTTGAATACATTAGTCTGAAAAGGGCCTTAAAAAAATGTTATTTTCACTGTCTCTGACAGGGAAGATTTTATCTAACCTTTCTGACTTAGATTTTAAAGTCTAAGGAAATCTAAGGGTGAAGGAAAGTGTTTTTTGAGACTCTTAGGTGGCAACCCGTTTTGCTTTGTTAAGTGGTAGAGGGGTCCATTTTAGTGCCTGCAGAAAAACATCTTAACTCCTTTGTTTTTCAACTGTTTAGCTTAATGCCTTTTCGGGCACAGGGGGTTCATCTGACTCTTGTCTGCTTGGGCCTTTTTGTCTTGAAATGCTACATCAAAATTGGGGTACACTGAGTATTTGACTCTCTCTGGAAATAGAATCTAAGATACTGGAAGGAGATTTCTATTTTAATAGCAGATGTAGAACCAGTTTTATTATCCCCAGATGTGGTCACCAAGGCAAGCTTTGGCGAAATTGTCATGGCAGCCAGTCTAGACAATGTGATGGCATGCATCCTGGCCTTAAGAAGCTACAAAGACGAAAAACAATGCAGGCTCTGGTGTTCAAGGCAAAAAATCTGGGGTAACTGTGTTGGTGGTTCTGGACTTGATATGGTGAAAGAACTGGTAGGATCCAAGTTAGAAGAGTTTATATTCTGCATGTAAAGTGTTCCTTAGATAACAGGAGGTATATTAAAATCAACTGTTTGGATTCTTCGGGAAGTGAGTGTTTAGAGATAGTAAAATTTCCTAGATTAATATTAAGTTTATAATTTAAAGTTTTGTATTTTGATGGAAACCTTTCTTTTATGTATGTTTCCATGTGTATTAAAAACAAAGTATGTTGAGTGTAATTTATTCTTCAAGGCTCAGGGTCCTCATTAAAAATATCTGTTGTGGGCTTCCCTGGTGGCGCAGTGGTTGAGAATACGCCTGCCGATGCAGGGGACGCGGGTTCGTGTCCTGGTCCGGGAAGATCCCACATGCCGCGGAGCAGCTGGGCCCATGAGCCATGCCGCTGAGCCTGCGCGTCCGGAGCCTGTGCTCTGCAGCGGGAGAGGCCACAACAGTTAGAGGCCTGCGTACCGCAAAAAAAAGAAAAAAAAAAAAAACTGTTGTGACCACTACAGATGTAAAGATGGAGATTGGCAGGGAAATAGAACTCAATAGGAATTTATAACAGTGATTCTAATTTTTCTGCTTGGAAATTGTCAGTGTGTCTGCGTGAATACATATTTAAAATTAAAAAAAAAATCGTATGGGGATAAGTTTCATATATTATGTATCATGGTTATTTACCCCTAAATACATTAGTGTATATTTCCTCTAAGGACAGTGATATAGTAATCTCTCAGTGTCCTAGGGGGAATTGGTGCCAGGACCCACCTCAGATATCAAAATCCACAGATGCTCAAGTTCCTTATATGAAATGACATAGTATTTGCATGTAACCTATACACATCCTCCCATATACTTTGTCATCTCTAGATTACTTATAATACCTAATACAATGTCAATGCTATGTAAATATTTGTAAGTACAAAGGAAATGCTGTGTATATAGTTGCTGGCGTGCCGCACATTCATGTTTTACTTGTTGGAGTTCTGTTTTTTAAATATTTTCAATCTATGGTTGGTTGAATCTGAGGAATGGGAACCTGTGGATACGAAGGACTGACTGTATTCTGTTACATAGCCACAATACAATTACCAACTTAATACATTTATAGTGATATATCATTTTAATCTAATCTACCATCCACATTCCATTTTGTCAGCTGATCTAATAATCCCCTTTAAAAGTTTTTTTTTTTCTTTCTCCAGTATAGGATCTAGCATCAGGTATTGCATTTAATTGTCATGTCTATTAAGTCTCCTTTAATTTAGAACATTTCCACATATTTCTTTGCCTTTTTTGACAGTCACATCTATAAAATATACAGTTATTGGCAGCATTATTCACTGGGGTATTTGAGATTGCTCACATTTTCCCCATTTTACCTTAACACAACAGTTATAATAATAAGAAAAAATAATAGATTGAATTTATTGAACAGTTAATCCTGTGCTAGTCCATGCACTTTACACATACAGGCATACCTCGTTTTATTGCACTTCCCTTTATTGAGCTTAGCAGATACTGCGTTTTTAACAAATTGAAGAGGGTTTGTGGCAACCCTGTGTGGAGCAAGTCTGTTGGTGCCATTTTTCCAACAGCACTGGCTCACTTCATGTCTCTGTGTTACATTGGTAATTCTCACAATATTTTAAACTTTTTCATTATTAATATATTTGTTATGGTGATCTGTGATCAGTGACCTTTGATGTTACTATTGTAATTGTTTAGCAATGAAGTATTTTTTAATTAAGGTATTTACATTGTCTTTTTAGACATAATAGACCACAGTATAGTATAAACATAACTTTTGTATGTATTGGGAAACCAAAAATTCGTCTGACTCTCTTTATTGCGACATTTGCTTTATTGTGGTGGCCTGGAACTGAAGCTGATATATTTCCGAGGTATGCCTGTAGTAACCATTAAGTCCTGATAGTAATCCTATAAGGTATGTGGTATTATTACCTCTGCTTTACAGGGCTGATAATTAGAAACCAGAGGTACAGAAAGGTCATCGGTGTAGCTGATAAGAGGTGGGACCAAGATGCAGAATAAAGCATTCCAGTGTGAATGTTTGCTTTCTTTACCACTCTGCTCTGCTAAATATTACTTTTTTTCAAGGGCTACAGAATTGTTGGCTCTTTGACACTGCTGAGCTGTGTTATCTTATTTTTCTTCTTTACCACTGTCTGCTTCTTACTCATGTTGTCTGTTACATTTGGACTTTGCTTAGTTTTTCCTTTTTATCTAAATCACATCACTTTTTTCATGCTTTAGGTGAACCTGCTACATTGTAGTGGGTATAATATCTGTGTTCTAATGTGACTGTAGTCATAGAGACTGTTTTTTCCTCACCATAGTGATTCAATTCTCTTTGCCCCAGATTTCTCAGTTTGGAGCATTTATAGAAACCTGGAGGTTCTGTTGTAGAAGAGTCGTCTCCAGATTGCCAGGACTTGTCAGTATATAAGCTTCAATGTGTTCTTTTTTTTTCTCCTTAATTTTAGAAGAACTTTAAAGGAGTAGTAGGTTTATTTCTTCTGAGTGTGTCAGGAGCTCTTTATCTTTGTTTTTCCCCAAACCCAAACACAAAATTTCTTGCTATTGACCTCTCAAAGTATAGTTTTCTTTCCTCACTGTGCCTGTTTTATAGGAGCATCATTTTTTAATTTTTAAAATAGCTACTTTTTAATGCTATATCTTCATAAAATAGTAATGAATATTGAACTACTAGTATGTTTAGAGTAAGGAATACCTTTTAAAAATTTTTTATTATTTTGAAAGTATTATCTACTTTAATAGATGCTAATCAAGAAAGTTACATTTTTTTGGTTCATCAATACATAATTTAAGGATATATGAAATTATATATTCATGTAATAATAATTACACAATTATGATACAGTAATTAATATGATACTCTTTAAATAAAACCAGTCTTTATTATTTATGGCAATGGAGAAAATCTTTTTATTGGTTAAAGAAATAATAGCTAAATTCCTGAATATGAAATAATGAGAAATATATAGTATATTGTTCTTTTTTAAATTATGTGTTAATATGACAATATATAAATATAATCAGGTACATGTATATAAAGCATTTAAAGGATTGACACATAGTAGAATGAATTTAAGTCTGAAAAATAAGTACTTTACTCTGATAGTAAGATAAATGTAAAATTGAGGATGAATACCAATTGAAAATTAATAAGTGGTCTTATTAACTCTCTTTAGCCATCAGTGAAGGTAATGATGGATTTGTATTTGTGTAAGGCCAGAGTTGCTGAGGGTCCTAGAAAATAGCTTGGATAGTAGGTAACTCACACTTATCTTTCCATCATGATGTACATTAGCTCTTTGTACACACGCAGATCAAATTGATCCTGGATACATATCCTATTCCTCCGAGGTCATATTTCTTTACATTTACCCTCTTTTTTTCCCCGAAGGGACATGGAAATCATTTTTGGCTGTTGTTCCACTCCTCATTGTTTTTTTCCCCTGAAAAACAGAGTGAATGGTGGTAATGAGCTTTTCTAAGGGTGCGTGATAACCATTAGTTGCTCTTGAGGCAGTGCGTTATATTGACTAACAGTGTATTCTTTGAAATCACTGATTAGTGATTTCACATGCTGGCTCCTCTCTTTGCAAGCCACTTAACCTCTCTGTACCTCAGTTTCCTCTTTAATTAAATGGAGGTCGTGATACTATCTGCTTCATAGTATTCTTATGCAGATTAAATTAGATCATTATGTAAAATCCTTAGCATAGTCTGTCACATATTTTCATTGCTCTATAAAAGTTATTTTGATTATCACCACCACCGTCATATACTTACGTTTTTCAATTTAGTTTTCTTAAGTTTTACTGCCCTTTAATCTGAGCAAAACGATGGCAGTTGGGGAGATTGGGGGGGGGGGACATAGTTTAGTTTCGATCTTGATGTTAGTTTTTCTATCTTGAGGAGCCCAAATACCATGCTATGTTAGCATAATCTTTGATAAAAAGAAAACACAACATAACAACCAAAATAACAACAGAACAACCAAAATACATAAGCAAATTTTAATTTACAATGAAATTAATACAACCTTTCTGCAGTGATTATTCTCTATATACATGTAATTCATAATTTGGAAAGCTTTAAATCTGAAATGTATTTTGTAATTTTTCGTTTTTCTTAATTGGTGACATACCATTTTTATTATTTCAGAATGATGATATTGAAACGGATATTAACAAACTAAAACCCCAGCAAGAACCAGGACGAACAATAGAAGAACTTAAAATGTATGAACACCTTTTCCCTGAGCTTGTTGATGATTTTCAGGTATACAGAAAATTCAGCATCTTAACTAATTTTAAGAAAAAGTTCTTTTTTTCTTACCTATAATCACTGTTTTCACTTCTAAAAAATGAAAGTAGTGTTGCTTTTCTGAGTGACATTGGACAATTATTTCAGCATTCTGAGCTACAAATTGCTGTCGGTAAAACAAGGGGACTAGGCCATTTAATTTTTGGACTAGCTTTTAAATTTTTTAATCATTTTTGTTTATCAATTGACATAGTTTTTTATTCTTTTTAAAAATAATCTTTAAAATGGCATTTCAGAAAGCCTTATTTTTATCAGTTGCTTTCAACTGAGGGGAGATGAGAGCTGAGAAAATGCTTAATTAAAAATATAGTCTATGCTCATTGAATTGTTTTTCCTGATAGTCACCATATAAGCATGGAAGGTCGGGAAAGAGGACAACTGGAAGTCTTTGAATCTAAGTTGCTTCACAAGGACAGTGACTTCTTGTTAACATTTCTTACCCTCATTTATTTACTAGAATATAGTATTCAGCTTGGACTGCACAGCAAGTAAAGCTGATTGAATTGATGGCTAGTAGTAAATACAGTTTCTTACGCTCACTCTGCTGCTCACTTGTGGTGGGTTCTTGAGCAAGTCCCTGAAACTGCCCAGAATCTTAAAATGTAAAATATAGGGTTTGAACTGATAATCGTAGATTTATTTAGCTCTTGCTGCAAGCCCCGGCTCCCTCCCGCCCCCGCCCCCGCCAAATTTCACACACTAACAGTGTATTCTGGTTATAATTCCTGGTTGTAATAATTCCTGGTTGCTCAAAGAAAAAGACTTAAATGTGAAACTATATGTGAGAAATAAAAACAGAAATACTTGCTAGCTAATGTTTACATTTCACAGTTCTAATTATTCAGGTTTCTCTTTGGGAACTAATGAGCTTTTGGATGCAATAGAAGAAGCAGCAAGTTGCTCCCTCTCCCCCTCCCCCAGTGTCTTGGTACTCCCCATAGATTTGGGGTATGTTGGAAGGTACGTTGAAATCAGGGGTAGTAGAAAGAGGGCAGGAATGAAGGAGAGGTTATTTGTTACAGAAAAGAAGGCAAGAAGAGGCATTTGGGGAAGGATACAGGGTGATTTTCTTTCATGCCACCTACAGGAAGTATCTGGCTGCTCTTTTCACACTTTTGTGCCCAACTAAGAACCACTTTAAAATAAAGCTCCAGAGATAACAAATACTGCCAATTTAAAGCAGAAAAAATATATTGTGGAAGGGGTTTGGGGAAGGAATTGATTATTCTGTGAAGAAATGACCTATTTTCTTCTCTGTTTGTATACATATAAGAATTATATAATGTGAGTAAAAACTGTAGGAGTTTTGATGTGGGAATAGAGATGACTAGTTTTTTAATAGGTGTTAAGGTCAGGATTTTGATCCTCATTATTTCACAAGCCAGTTCTTTTCTTGTAGACTATGTTGATGAGTACTTGTACATTTGCCTATTAATTCAACAACCAGAATAGGCCACCCGTGATGGTTTCCTGCTTGGCACCTTTGAAAAGCTGGCCAACTTGTCCTTTAGTTTGGCTGCTCCTAGAACAGACTCCTACTTTTGGCCTGACTTGGTGTGACCAGGGTCAGATGGTAAAGACAGGTGTGTCTTAGTGTTAAGAGCTCTGAGGATTCTTCCCAAGTGAGTTACCCCTTTTTACTGTGTTTAAGCAAAAGAAGTTACTTCCAGTATTTCAGATAGTACATATTTATTAATGCCATATTTTTAAAGCTTAAAGTAGAATAGTTAGCTCTATGTATATAGAGTATGTTGTGGGAAATAGCACATTTTCTTCTATGTACGTAATTGGAAAATCATTCTAAAGTAATTGTGTTGGCACTCTTTCTCATTTTTCAGTTTCAGAGGAATGCACTGTTCAAACACTTTAGTCTCTAATTTTTTAAGTGTGTGTTGGAACTATGTATAGGCAGCGATATTTAAGTGATGTATTTTTGAGAATTAAAAATAATTGGTTGGCTCTAAATAGGAAGTGTTTGAAAGAATTTTTTTCAGCTATCATTGTATCAAATGATACAATGATATGAGATGGCAGATCATGAGATATTAAACAGAAATGGAATTAATTTTGATTATGACTTTTTCCACTTGGATTTGCATGTCACTTGCAACATCAACCACTGAAGCTTAAAATTACTTGATGTGTTTGTTTTTACCTGAACACCACCCGCTTTGTTTCCAGATGTGTTAAAGCTACTATTCAATGGCCTGACGGAGGAAGAATGAGTGCATTTGAAGTCCACATAAAGAATTGTTAAAGTAGTTAGCAACAGACTTTTTTAAGGGGACCTTACGCGTGCTTTTAAAGCTATGATTATTTATTTGTAGTGACAAGTATAGTTTTATTTTCTTTTGTTTCTTGATAGCAGAATATTAGAAGTGTTGAAATCCTGCATTTTCACAGCTCTGTTTTCATACATCTGTGGTAGCATGATGGCATTTACCATATGGACTTTTGTTATGTTTATTTCTTTCCCCCCTTTTTTTTTTTTTTTTTTTTTGCGGTACGCCGGCCTCTCACTGTTGTGGCCTCTCCCGTTGCGGAGCACAGGCTCCAGACGTGCAGGCTCAGCGGCCATGGCTCACGGGCCCAGCTGCTCCACGGCATGTGGGATCCTCCCGGACTGGGGCACGAACCCGTGTCCCCCGCATCGGCAGGCGGACTCCCAACCACTGCGCCACCAGGGAAGCCCCTCTTTCCCCTCTTTTTAATTTGGTTTTAAATTTTTATTAAAGTTATGCATGGACAAAGTTTAAAGAGCAAGTAGTTTTACATAGTCTAATCAGGAAAAACTGTAGTCTCCTTCCTATCTGCTGTTTCCTACAATCACCTTTCCATATGTTTTTGAAGTTAATCCCCATATTTCTAAATGATATGCTTACAGTGCCATGTCTTGATATTTCCTTCTTTCATTCTCTCTCTCTCTCTCTCTTTTTATTATCATCTTAATATAGACGTCCAGTAATTTTCAGCTTTTCTTCTCTTCTAATATTTACATTTTGAGGCTATAAATTTCCCTCTAATTACTGTTTTAGTTGCATCACACAGGTTTTGAAATTTAGTGCTTTCATTATCTTTGTTTTGAAACTTTTTTTCCATTATGACTTTTTCCTTTGATTCAGTGGTAATGTCAGAGTTGGCTTTTTAATTTCCAATTTTTTGTTTATCTTTTTATTAACTTCTAGCATATTGTAGTAGGATGAGAGGACATATCCTTTATGATTATAATCTTTTGAAATTTTTGAGACTTATAACTTTGAATATGGTCAATTTTTGTTATTATTTCTCATGTCTTTGAAAAGAACTCTGCTGCAGTTAGGCACGGTTGTATATTTGCCTAATAGGACAAGATTGTTAATTGTGTTTAGAAGTTCTTTTCTATCCTTATGGGTTTTTGTTCCTATGTTATCAATTACTGAGAAAAGTGTGTTAAAGATTTCTCATTATGATTGCAAATATGTTTCTTTTTGCAGCTCTGTCAGCTTTTGTTACATATTTTTGGAGGCTTATTATTTATTGTGTATAAGTATAAATTGATTTCTCTTCCTTTCAAATTGAACTTTTTTTTTTTTTTTGGCTGCATCAGGTCTTAGTTGCGGCATGCAGGATCTTTCCTTGCAGTACATGGGCTCTTCATTGTGGCATGCGGGCTTCTCTCTAGTTGCGGCACACAGGCTCCAGAACATGTGGGCTCTGTAGTTTGCAGCATGCGGGCTATCTAGTTGAGGCATACAGGCTCAGCAGTTGTGGCATGTGGGATCTTAGTTCCTCGACCAGGGATTGAACCTGCATCCCCTGCATCGGAAGGTGGAGTCTTAACCACTGGACCACCAGGGAATTCCCTCAGATTGAACCTTTTATTGAAGTTAGTTTTTATCTGTAAGACTTAAAGGCAAAAAGTTTTTTAAAAAAAATATTAATGTAGTTACATAAATTTTAGTTACTTGCCTGGTATCTTTAAAAATCTTTTCACCAACTTCTTGTTACCCTTAGCTGTTTATCTTTTAAACAATATATAGTTGGATTTTAAAAACTCAAGTCTGAGTCTTTGCTATTTAACTGGAGCGTTTAGGTCACTTACATATAATTATTAATATATCTGGATTTGTGAGATCTTATTTTGTATTTTCATTTGTTTCATCTCTGTGTCTTTGTGTCTTTTACTTGCCTTTGTTTGGATTATTCTTCCTCGTTTCAGTTTTTTCACCTTTATGTGAAAACTATACAGTCTCATTATTTTCATTTTATTCAACTTTCTTGGGGTATAATTTATGTGCAACAAATTGCATTCATTTAAAGTGTAAGTTTGACATATACGCAAAAATTCTAGTTACTCTTTTTTAAAAAATTTATTTATTTCATTTATTTTATTTTTGGCTGTGTTGGGTCTTCATTGCTGCACGTGGGCTTTCTCTAGTTGTGGCGAGCAGTGGCTACTCTTCATTGCAGTGCACGGGCTTCCCATTGTGGTGGCTTCTCGTTGTGGAGCACGGGCTCTAGACACGCGGGCTTCAGCAGTTGTGGCATGTGGGCTCAGTAGTTGTGGCTCGCAGGCTCTAGAGCATAGGCTCAGTAGTTGAGACACACGGGCTTAGTTGCTCTGTGGCATGTGGGATCTTCCTGGACCAGGGCTCAAACCTGTGTCCCCTGCATTGGCAGGTGGATTCTTAACCGCTGCGCCACCAGGGAAGCCCTCTAGTTACTCTTGATAAAATAGTAAATATATGTATTTACTAAATTCTGAAGTTAATTAGGATCTTTCTTTTCTCTTCTTAATTATAAAATGAAACTTAGGATACTTTATATACACCTCCCAAACCTTCAAAACTTACATGCTTTGAATTTATATTTTAACTCTAGCTTAAAAAAAAAAAACCTCATATGATGCTACTGCTTTGTGTTTAGATTCAGTGTTTAAGATTTACGTACATTTTCACTACCTTTTAATTTTTTATTTCTTCTTGTTTCTCAGACTTTCTGTCTGAATTGCTTTCCTCCTGCTTGAAATGTTTTATAGTGTCTGTCTGTCTGTCTCTTTTTTGGTCCAAAAATGTATTTATTTTGTAATTCTTCTTGAAAGTTAGTCACTGTTTTCCTCTAGCTGCTTTTTTAAAATCAACTTTACTTAAGTGTAATTTACATGCAATAAATTACAAATATTTAGGTTCAATGAGTTTTAACAGATATATACATTTGTGTAGCTACCAACCCTGTCAAGATATAGAATTGTTTCTGTCACCCCAGAAATTCTGCCTGGGTTTCTTTTTAGACAATATCCTCATCTCTTGCCCAGGTAACTACTGATCTGCTGTCACTCCAGGTTAATTTTGCCTGTTTTGGAATTTCTCGAAACTGGGCTCATATAGTATGTACTTTTTTGTGTAAGGTTTCTTTTGCTCAGTATGTTTTTGAGATTCACCTGTGTTTTGCATTTATCAGTGTTTTTTTTCCCTTATTGCTGAGTAGTATTTCATTGTATGAATATACCACGATTTCTTTATTCATTCACTTATTGATGAGTATTGTAATGTTGGCAGTTTTGGGCTATCATGAATACAATTGATACTACCATGTGTGTACAAAGCTTTTTTGTAGGAAAGCTTTGTAGGAAATATGCCTTCATTTCTCTTGGATAAATACCTACAAGTGAAATTGCTGGGTTGAGTGTATGTTTTCACTTATACGAAATTGTTTCTGGTGACTTGTAAGATTGTTTCTTTAGCTTCAATGCTCTACAGTTTCCCAGAAATGTTTGTTAAGTGTAGATATTTGTTAAGTCTTGTTTGGGATTCATTGTGTTTTGGAATCTGTGAGTGCTGTTTTCTCATAGGATTTGGAAAAATTCTTTATTCTCTTCTTCAGATACTGCCTCTTTCTCTTTCCCTCTCTATTCTCTTTTGGCATTTCTAATTGAATGTAGATTTTCTAACTCTCTTCCATATCTTTTAACTCTTTTTTTTTTTAATGTTTTCCTTCTCTTTATTTCTCTGTGCTGCATTTAGGTAATTTCATCAGAACAGTCTACCAGTTCCCTAGTTTTAATTTTTGCTCCATCTAATCTGTCATTAGAAACATACATTAGGCATTTAAATTTGTTTTTAGAAGGTTTAAAAAAATGTTTCATCAGTCTTTAACTTCTTGTTTCTTGTCTTTCATTTCTTTGAACATATTAAATATAGGCATTCCTTAGTCTTATAGTTTTAGTGTCTGAATTTCTTGCAGTTTAAAAAAAAAAATTTTTTTTTTAGCATGAGCTGCTCATTTTCTTTATAATTTTGTGGAAATTCCAGAAGTTTCTGTTGTTGTTGCTTTTGACAAGCACTGTAATAGGTTAAATTCCTCACTGAGGATTTTTGGACCACCCAGATACTGTGAATTCAGACTGCAGATTCATGTGGTGTGATAGCAGGCTTTTGGTACCATTTTGTGAGTAGTGCTATTCTTCACCCTCTTGAGTGCTAAGGTTTGCGACAGTTGACTTTCCTTGCTATTATTTGTTTTGTGGTAGGGTATTTCTCGGGCCTCTTTGAAGGTTTAGTTTTCTGGGGTTCCTCTTTATGGGAGGGGTATCTTCTGTTGGACTCCCCGCTTTATGGAAGCTCTGGGTTACTCTCCTGTTCTTTATACTTTTTGAGATGGGAAAACCTATACCCTAGGTCACCCGTTTTAACAAACATTTTTCAAGTGAAAGCCAGCTTCAGTCTTACAGCTTTGAGATCCTGTCTTCACTTACTATTTGGTTTTTAATCCTTGCTTTCTTATTCACTTGCTGTCATACTTAAAATGTTTTAATATCTTTTTTTTTTTGGCCGTGCCGTATGGCTTGCAGGATTTCAGTTCCCTGACCAGGGATTGTATCCTGGGTCAAGGCAGTGAAAGCTCTGAATCCTAACCACTAGACCATCAGGGAACTCCCAAAATATTTTAATATCTTTTCCAACAGTTGTAAATGTTTCTGTGGGGTAGATAACTAGCCCACCAGGTTTCCTACAACAGATTTTTAAATGCAGATTTCTTCCCTTCAGCCCTTTTAATGCAGAGACACTTACCCATTACCTCCTTTGTGCCTCCTTGTCTCCTTGGATTAGATATAGTAGAGAGGCCGAAAGTGAATTATATTTGAATCCCTGGTTTTTATACAGTGGATATTTAAGGAATGAATCACAAAAGAAAAGAGTCTTAATTTTGACGACATAATGTGTGTGTAGAAGTTAAACAAAATTAAAAGATGAATTGTAAATCCAGAAAAATTTTTGCAAAAATGGGTTAAGGGATGTGTCTCTGTGTGTGTGTGTGTGTGTGTGTGTGTGTGTGTGTGTAAATAAATGTGAGAATTTATACTGCAAAACAAGAAAATTCCTGTATTCCAGGAACAAATATATTACCTATGAAGAAATAAACTGGTTAATAGATATATGGAAAGTTGTTTGCTTTTCTAATAGTCAAAGAAATGCAAATTAAAGTGGTGGTAAGACCATACTTCTTATCTACCACTTTAGAAAAAATTTTTAAAAACTATAGTACCTAATGTTGTCAAGGGAGAGAAAAGTTGAAATAGATACTCTCATATACAGTTACTGGGAATAGTATTAATATTAGTATTTTTGGAAGGCATTTAGACAGTTTGTATTAAACATTAAAATTGATTATAGTATCTGGCTCTGTAATTCCATTTCAGTGCTTGGGAAATTATCCTAAACAAAAAATTTATGCAAAAGGATGTTCAGTGCAGAGTTCTTTATAATAGCAAAATTTTGGAAATGGCTTAAATATACATCTTATTTGTTTGTTTAAATCCTTCCATATTCTGTGAAGGATTTAAGGCCCAGCAATAGAATAAAGGTTAAATCCATTGAGTTTTTTTTTTTTTTTGATAAAGTCTTACATAGACCAAAAAAATGTCTAAAAGTATAAAAAGAGAAAAGGCTACTTGATCTGTCAGCAGCATTCTTTTTTTTACTTGTCTTCCAGGACAGTTTTCTTTCCTGGTTTTCATGTTTCCAGCCCAGCTTTTTCTTCTCCATCTCCTATTGTTTCATTTTCATCTCCTCAACTTCTTAAGATTGTACTATCCCAAGGTGTACAGTCTTTTGTCTTCTTCTCTTATCTGTCTGTTTCTTTCCACTGATGATTTCCAGTCTCATGGCTTGGAGTAGTATCTGTATGTGAATGACTCTCAAAGTAACATCTTCTGCATACACCTTTCTTCTGAATTCTCAATGCATACATTCAGCTGCCTGCTTTACATCCTTGTTTATATGTGACTAGCTCACACTTAACATTCCAAAGCTAAACTCCTGATGCTTTTCAGTTGTTCAGGCAAATACTTTGGTACCATTTGTGACCTCTCTTTGTACCTTTTACCCTGTATCTAGTCTATCAGGATATCATGTCTTTTTGGCCTCACAATACATTTAGAATCCAACCACTTCTTACCAACTTCCATAGATTACTGCAGAGGACTCTTAATTGGTCTTCCTGCTTCTCTTACAACCCCCCCCCCCCCCCC